GTTCCTGTAGCCGTCCATGTGGGTCAGGCCGTGGTGTCCCTGTAAACCTCCAACAAAACAAAGGTTATTTTCTATTCTGCAACTTGTTGTCTTTCTATAAATGTAGAAGTGTTAATATCCTTAAAGGTCAGAGCCTCCAGAAAAGGCCCTCCTGTTTACCAGACAGGCTAAAGGCAACATTCATTTACAAAAGGTGCAGAGCTAACAAGACTAAGCCTACAAGACAGGGCACTGTGGTTAAAACTAAAGGAACAGATCCGATATGGCGTTAGATTTGTCCTCCTCTATTACAATTTAACATAAAAGCACGTTGTAACTATTGAAAGTGAAAGAAAAAAACGAATTAAGCCAACAGAGACTAGGAGGAAGTTACACAACTGAACTTCCATGCCCCTGTGTTTACAAGATGACCACAGCACTGGTCAGTAAGAGGAACTGTCCATTGTGGTCTGGGAGAACTGCATGGGGTGGGGGGAGGCGGGGGGTGGGTGGGTATGAGAGGGACGAAACAGAATCTGAAGTCTAGAAGTGAAAAAACCATAGAAAAAAGCCACACAAAAAAACCTTACAGGGCAACAGGTCCCTGTGCAACAGGGAAGAACAAATCTGACTCCATATTAGGTCTGTTCCTTTAGCTCTAACCCTGCGCTCTGTTGTCTGTACTTAGTCTTGCTGGTTCTGCACCTTTTGTAAAAGAATGTTGCCTAGAGCCTGAAATGAACGGGAGAGCCTATTCTGAAGGTGCTGACCTTTGAGGGTGTAACACTTTCCCATTCATAGAGATAAAAAGTTGCAAAACAGAGAATAACATTTGTCTTGTTGGAGGTTTACAGGGGCACCATGACCTGATCTATGTGGACAGCTGCAAGAACAAAGGATTCCAACACCAAGAAGTTTGCAACAACCAACCACACCCCCTCTCCTTTTCAGTATAAAAGAAGCCTGAATTCTGACTTGGGGAAGATGGTTCTATAGGACATTAGTCCTCCATCTTCTTGGTTTGCCGGCTTTCCAAATAAAGTCGCTATTCCTTGTCCCAACACCTTGTCCCCCGATTTACTGGCCTGTCGTGTGGAGAGCAGAACCACTGGAGTAATGATGATGACAATAATGATGGTAATAGTAATCATAAATTAATAAAATTTGCATGCCAAAGTATTTTTTTATATTTTAGAAAAGTTAAATTGCCAAGTAGCAAAATCAGATTTATTATTTTTAAATAGTAGAGGAGTTCAGTGAACATCTGTCTTATTTTCTGTTCATTCTTTCATTCACTTCTGCCAACCCGAGTCTGTGCCCTCGAACGGTGCCTGGGTGACGTCTCTGTCAAAGCCCCAGGGGCTTTGCTGACCCCACCTCCCCCATGGAGGTCAGAGGACCATCCTTGGTGAGTCCTGCCATCTCATTCATCTTTTGGGGTAACACTGGGAGGTCAGGTGTGGCTGAGTCAGGGGAGCCTGGTGGTGACAGGAGACTTATGACCTAAGCTCAGGCTGTCACAAGGCTTTATTTTCTCTGAACTGTGATGTGAAGATACAGAAAATTGAGGTAAGTTTTTCTTTCCGCTTGTTCCTATACAGGTGATCAGCTTGTCTCAAGACAGACTATCCAGACACCTGTTTCCTGTCTGCTACATGCCAGCTTCCTCACCTGCTCCCCAATTCTGTGCGCTCCCCTATGCCCTTCCAATATTTCCTCCCTTTAAAAGTGAGTCCAACTCTATTTCAGTTGTTTGCCTCCAAAGAATAAGCTTTGGGTACCGGCTGGTCAGGGAACCAAATAAAAATCACACTGACTGAACTGGCCCACTGGGTCATAAGTGAAGATGGAAGCTGGAAGGGGATGAAGACTGAGGACCCCTGGGATACTGAGCAAAACCGCTGGTGTTAGGTATTAAATAAGTGGGTGCACCAGGCAGGCAGATGGAGGAGAGGGAGGAGGGTCTGGAAGACGGTACTGTGCCCGCCTCCAGCATCAAGGGACTTTACTTCTTCTATATGAGTGCCAGCAAGAAACGGGTTAGAACCCAACAGCCACGACTGCCAGTAGCAGAAATGACTTAACCAGACATGACCCAATATTCACTGTATTCTAATTAACATTGAGGTTTAGCCATCCCCCCTACCATGGGTTTTTTTCTGTGTGCACCATGGGTAAGGACATGTGCAAAGAGGCCAAACATGACCAAGCACTCCAGGGACAAGAGCCATCAATCAATCAAGCAAAATGCCACCTCCAAGCGAGGGTATAAGAGAAAGGGCAGGCAAAACCTGCCGCTTTCCCTCCCCTGGATCCGCCCACTTCCTGTTCTTGGGTGTGTAGTTTTCCTTTTTAAAATAAATCTTTAAAAATCTTTCACTACACAACGCACTGTCTCCCAACTGTAAACCTAGCTTTTGGTATTGGTAAGAACTGGGGTCTTTACCTTTTGGGGTAACACTGGGGGGTCAGATGTGGCCGAGCCAGGGGAGCCCAGGTGAAGGTCGCCAGGGCTCTGGCAGGAATGAGACAGACTAAGTCCACAAACACAGCATGGTGAGCGATAGTCCCTAAGGATGTTAATACTCTCTGACAAGTTTAGGGCTATCAGTTGACATTGTTTTATTCAGAAACAGCTTCTATGCCACATAAAAACCTACCAGGAGATGAAAAAGTCTTGCCTTTCTTTGTTCAGAATTAATGTTCAAAATAAAGCAACTAGATCACAACTTAATGGCATGGAATATTCTACAGAAAAGACACTGCATTTCTCTTCCTTCTTCCCGTGTGCTTACCTTTCCCGTTCACTTGTCTGAACAATGAAATTAGATTTACTGTTTCATTTTGTTTATGGCTGATTTTACAGCCCAGCTCAACATTGAGATTGATCTCATCTTGTGCACACACCCCAAAACCTTCCCATGTACCTGATTTTCATAAATTCACTTAGAATGAGCTCCTGTAAAAGTTTATATAACACTATTTAAAAACCTAAGGTTAATTCCCCCAAATAAAATTACATTTTCCACTTAAAACTTTGCTAAAAAGTGTTTCCAGATTAGTAAATATCGCCAGACCCATGTTAACTCATTTGGATACAAATGCACAAGCAAAGAAATAAATGGGAAGAGATTCCCTTTTGTCCATGTCGTCATACCTGAATAGGGACTCTCTCGACAGCCAGATTTCATTCTGTTTTACGGTTTTCCAAGAGAAGAGCAACAGCAGCAGCACGGTGGACACACTCAGGGCGGTGGCCCCACACCGGTTCAGCCACGTGCAGAGTTTGCTCAGTCCGTGCACGACGAGGATGCAGTAGCCCATGCTGGAAAACAGGGCGGAGAAGCAGGTGACTCTGGGTGCAGGGCGGCCCCTGAGCGTTCCATCCCATGCAACCAACTTTCAAACAGAGCTTGTCCTGTGACAGAAACAACAAACATAAGCTCCTGTCTGACACAGCGTTTCCGTGTTAGTGCTCACATGGGCTCCACCAGCACATCCGCTAATCCTCCCGCACGTGTGGAGAACAGGTCCACCTTGCAGGCTCAAACTGCCCTGGATTTCCGCCGCTGAGGCACCGTGAAAAGTCCCTCATGTATGTTCCTGGGTCCTGAAGGGACCCTCTGACCCAGGCTCCCTCACGTTCCTGACACTGCATGATCTCATCGGCAGCATGTGTGGACCCTGTTCTGCAGCCGGTCCCATCACGGCTCTGTGGGAGACAGTCCCCGTATACCCAAGCAGGACCCTGTGGGGACTTCCAGGGACAGACCCATCCCCTAGATCCTCTGCTGTAGCTCCTCTCTAAAGCACCCAGATGACAGTATCTCATGTGTATTTCCTGAGTTTTTCAGATGCTAAAAATCACCACCAAAGGGAAGAAATTAACTACTCGATGATCATGAGCAAATGGCCCCCAGACCTTCTGGAGCCTGGGGGTCAACAGTGTTGACCACTCTCTTATCTTCACATCAGCCGATCAGAGGACTGTGCACAGCTGATCAAGTACCCTGTGAGCCCCCTACCCTGCCCCTCACCTGGCCTTTAGATGTGCTTTGCTGAAACCCTTCGGGGAATTCGGGGTTTTCTTGGGCATGAGCCACCCCATCCCCCTGGCTCAGCTCTGCATTAAACCTTTCTCTGCTCCAAACTCATGCTTCAGTTTGTTTGGCCTCATGGTGTGTCGGGCACATGAACTTGCCTTCAGTAACACCCCAGGGGACTATCAGGTCCTGGGAGATTCTGGTCACCAAAGGGCATTGGGCTTTGTCTCTGGAAATGTGCCTCTGCCACAGTCCTTACGCTGAAGGGAAATCCACCGACAGGCCAGTTCCTGAGCCTCACAGCTTGGAGTGCACCACAGACAAGCTGCACTGATACGATTCTCGCACTGACTGGCCCAGTTTTCCCAGCAGACACCAAGAATCCCTCATGTTATCTCAGTGGGTCTTTGGCACGATGAAACCACATCTCTAAAAGCCTTCAGCTTGGTGGATGGAACATGGTCCCTCACATCATCTATGAACCTGCA